CTGCGTACACCACATTTCAACTCTCCAAGACCCCAGTGCGATGTTGCGTCGGCGTGAAGCAAGGGCCCCCATTGTCAACGCTTCTAATCAACGCAGTCAAGCTCACATCGTCTTCCGCTGCTGGTGAGTGACGCCGGATGCACGGTCGCCCGTACATGTCGTACGTTAGTTAGAACGCGCCTAGATTTCCGGCCGTGAGGCCGTTACACGTCGTATCAAGGTCGGCCATCGTTCTTGGATTCTATGGGTGAAGGCGCGTTGCAAATGGATAGACGAGTTGGTGACGGAGGGGGATTTCGGTATGAAATTGTGCTCCGTGTATTTTTCTCCGGGCAGCCTGAGTTGTGGTGCATCCTATATATACGCTTAATACGGTACTAGGAGTAAGTAGCATCTACGTAGAAACGGGCCCGGAGCCCAGAAATGGAACGGGTCGCTGACGTCCCAGCACACGGCGAGTCCAATCGGGACCCTTCTGACTTTGCTCTTACCAATAAGAATCTTGTTTGTTGCTACGTGTGCCGCCTAATCAAGTCGCGCAACCAGGTGCGGTGTTTGTTGCGGTGGAGCGTTGAGGACGCTGCTCAGCCGATTCCCTTTTGCAGTTCCATGATTCGGGTTGTGACAACTGTAAATAAAATCTTTTTGGACCTAGCATTTCATTTGAGGACTACACGACACCAAACTTCTCGGGGTAGGGACTGAGGCTTAAAAATCGGGGACTTTGTTCTTACGGGCGAGGATGGAGGCAGTGAGAGGATTCATAAGCTCACGTCTTGTAGCCTGGCGTCGTATAACCACAGCACCTGCACAGCCCATGGAGTGTACGACAGTTGCGACGATCGTACAAGCTTCGGCTGCTTCAGTCATCAACTCATGCGAGCGGTGATAACATCGCAGAGCCTTGCGGCTTTGACAGCTGCGGCGCCGTCACCGCCGCCGCTGCTGCTACTGCCGCCGCCGCCGCCGCCGCATGCGCCCCAGCGCCGCCGGGCCTCTGCGGCGACGCAACGGAGGCGGCCGCCACAGCGGCCCCCGTCGCCACCACCCTCCCATCGCCGCCGCCACCTGTCCGCCCGCTACAGCTCCCCAACGCGCAATCAGCATTGGGCTCCAGCTACAGCCACAGTCACAGCGTCACCTCACCCTCCACGCCCTCGTGTGGTGGTTTCGGAGCCTTGAGCGGCGCACAGCAGTACATGGCGAGAGCGCATGAGGAGGTGACGGTGCTATTCGCAGGTGGGTTGCCGGTGGGGTGTGTTTGAACTGTGTGTGGCGGTGGTTCGACATAGCGCCCGGGGTATTACGACAACGGTTTCAACTGACGACAACGGTTTGCCGTACTTTACCGTAACTGATGCACGGTCCCTCGCTTACATAATATACAAAATACACTGTCACCATGAGCTGTTTACCTTTTTATTATAATGGATGCTTGAAGTTTTTGAATTTTTTATATTTTTTATATTTATATTTTTTATATTTATATTTTTTATATTTTTTATATTTTTAATATTTTGTTATACTCGTAAAGTTGTGTCTTCAGTAATCTCTTCCTACCCCATGTGCACGTGTAATTTACGTGATGATGGTTCGAATTCTCTATGTGCCGTACACAGACATCGCCTCCTTCACCAGCATGTGTGGTCAGGTTCCGCCCCACCGAGTCATGGCGTTCCTCAACGACCTCTTCACCACTTTTGACCAGCTGGTGGAAGCATCAAGTTTACAAGGTCTAGACCATTGGAGGTACGGCATTGTACGGCATCGTCGTACATATCATAGTGCGGAAGTGTACGGAACTGAGGCGATGCCGTTTTTGCATAATTTGGCGGAACGGCTGCCGAGAAGCGTGACTGTGTTACATTCCAGACCAGGTGTATCCTATCTTGTGTGTTCGATAGGCGCTCTCCTGTTCGATCCTTTTTTCATAGCTTTTGATACCTGTACCAAACCATCTTTTTCATATCCTCGTCTTTGGAAAACTGTCGCAAACGCTGCTTAATCTGGAAGCTGACCTAAATTGCTTCTTTCCGCTTTCGTCGAACGCAGATTGCTACATGGTGTGCGGCGGACTTGTAGAAGAGGACGCCGAGGGATTCAGGTACGACTGGTACGACCGGTACGAAACAAAAGGAAGGTTCTTTTGTTTCCCTCTTGTTGTAGCTCCCTGTTGATAAAATTTAATACGCAACTTCTTAAACATCACTCCTGCCGGTGCCAATCCATATGCCGTACCCACGCCGTACAACCACCGCCGTACATCACAGGTCCGTTACAGAGGCCGTGGATCCCCTGCACGCGCACAAGGTCTTTGCATTCGCCGCGTTGGAAGCGGCTCGCTGCGTGATGATGCCCGGTACCGGCCAGCCTGTACGACTGCGAGTAGGCATCCACAGCGGCCCCGTCATGAGCGGCATCGTGGGGCGGAAGATGCCCCGTTTTTGTCTGTTTGGCGACACAGGTGTGTGAGTTTGGGGTTATATATTTATAGTTTTTTTGAGTCTCCGTTCTCTGTGAGAGTGAAGCACCGGCCAGCAGCAATGGCGAAATGTCTTCGTGGTTCTTCTTGGGGTTTTATTCATGAATGGCTGTTTGGGGGAATATATGGGACTATTCACTGCACGACCCCGACGCGACAGGGCTACAGGTCGACCACTGGCCGCCAGGGCAGCACCCGGGGGGGGGGGCCGTACGTAGCTCCACGTGTATGTAGCTCGAAGCTTGCTGCGACAGATATGATGTATTTCTAGGCAAGTCCGCACATCGTTCGTGAAAACCTACCTTTCCACAAGATTTTACTTAATTTTTAGTAGTATTAACTTTTACTTTAATTCAGCTTTCGGTTTCTGTTGGCAGCGCATGTTGCCGGGCCCTCCTCCCCCTCCTCCTCCCCTCCCCCTCCTCCCCCTCCCCCTCCTCCCCCTCCCCCTCCTCCCCCTCCCCCTCCTCCTCCCCTCCCCCTCCTCCCCTCCCCCTCCTCCCCCTCCCCCTCCTCCCCCTCCTCCCCCTTCCGTGCGTGAATCTGTGTATCGCTCTTGCCCTTCTCGCTCCAGTCAACGTTGCCAGTCGAATGGAGTCCACGGGTGTACCTGGTGCCGTACACATTTCTGCGGCCACGCGGGCCTTATTGGGCGCCGCGGCCGACGGATTTCTTTCCACGGGGGGAATTCCCGTCAAGGGCAAGGTACGGATTGGGGAGTTGGCAGTTGACGGTTGGGAATTGATGTTATTGTTCTTTCCTGGTATTATTCGCACTTTATTCGCACTGGTCCACATGCCCACGGATCCGCCACCACGCAGTTCTCTTCACAGAGTTGTTTACCGGAGAAGTGAGGGGGGGGCATATTCCCTCCCTCACTCACTCACCCACTCAAAGAATACCAAGCGCAGCATCATTCGCATATTGGGGTGTGAAACGCAGTTCTTCATGCAGGTCGTCATCATGTCATCCTTCTCTGCGCCTCCCCCCGGCCTCACCAAACCATGTAACCCATGTGCTTGTATGACGTACGGCGCAGGGGTTCATGCTCACGTACGTGTACGACCCGTGCGGCGTCGCTCCGCAGCGCTCTCAAACAGTCTCCCGAACTGGATCAGGTGCGGAACAGGAGGGTGCCGCTGTGGCGGGTGCCGCTAAGCTATCGGGTGCCTGTCCTGATCCTGATCTACCAATCTTGACCGCTACAGCCGTGCCGGGTATTGGTAGGGAAGGTCCCCAGGTCCCGGGGGGAGAAGCATCTAGCGGTACACCGACAGAGGCGCCGCCTCCGTTGCCGCAATAGGCCATGTACGACATGACGTACATGGCACCCCAAGTGGTATGATTGTGCGCGCGTGTTGCAAAAGCGAGGACCGCTCTCTTGCGTGTGTGCCATTCCCGAATGTATATTCGACGTTTGTTGTACTGCAGCATGTACGGAGTACGGAATACGGCATAATACGGATATGGCACGTGTTTGTACAATTATGTCAGTTTTGTACTTTGGCTCGGTCCTGCGATGTCGGTTCCCGCAGCTGTGAGGGAAGGTGTTTTCCGGGCGCGTGCAGGAGGGTCCTTCGAACCCGCCATGAATATCTAGCTAGCTAGCTAGCTAGCGGGATTGTGTCTTGTAAATTATTTTGGCGCTGGCAAATATTTGTCTTGGCAGGAGTTTGTGACTGGCTTGCGAGGGTCGTGGT